CTCTGGAGATCTTCTAACTGGGTAGGAGGGGGATGGCAGACTAAAATGTTGTCTGTGGATGGCAAATTGCCTTAACCAGCCTTTGTCCAACCCCCCTCCCTAGGGAGGGCCATAGAGACAGGAATCTCCCCAACCCTGGCGCCTCTGACGAAGTGGGTATTCACCCACGAAAGCTTATGCTCCAATACTTCTGTTCGTCTATAAGGTGCCACAGGATCCTTGTCGCTTTTTACAGATCCAGACTAACACAGCTACCCCTCTTATATGGTCACAGTTCTTCTCTTCATGTATCTGTAATTTTCACTCCATGCATCTGAAGAAGTGGTTTTTTACCCACGAAAGCTTATGCCCAGATAAATCTGTTAGTCTTTAAGGTGTCACCAGACTCGTTGTTTTTGTGGATACAGACTAACACGGCTACCCATCTGATAATTAACTTTAAAGGGAACTCTGGGCAATACATCAGAGGGAAGAATTTGGCCCTTGATATTTAACAATATTTATCTCCAATTTTAAAAGGTAGAAATGACAAAGCTAGCAGTGTATCTGACTGAATCTTTGATCAACAAGGAGGAAGCAGTTGTAGGGAACATGTTAAAACAGACAGGAGTTCAACTAACAAAGGGCTATTAGCACATCATATGCTTGAGTAAAAAGTGCAGTGTTTGTATAATGTGCCACAAACACTAATGACCTATTTTTATGTCCCTTCTTCTGATACAGTGGTACACAGCAATTAAAACCTTTTGGCGTCTGTGATCCCACCACTTAAAATGAATCAGTAGATGCATAATTTTCATGATTCTTGGTTAAAAAGTTTAGGTCACTCAAATAGGGATTTTATTCCACTGCGTGCTTGATTCTGTTACACCAGCTTAAATTAAAAAATAACACATTCACTTAAGATCGGTAAAACTCTCCTGAAGACAAGTCCTAAGAGCCTAATCAAACTCCTACTGTAGTCAATAGGAATTCAAGTGGGCCCTGTGAGACATATCTGTAGTCCCTGATTCTCAGCCTTCTCACATGTGCACTAACTGTGCTGTGGAGGGCATTTAGCATATTTTAACTAATCTTTTATTTTTTAAAAAAAGCCTATTTTTAAACCTCTTATGCATCCTCATATACTAAAGACGTCCCAGAATTTGTTTTGTGACATTATAAACACCAGTGCTGTGGTGAGTACTATAGAAATGCCTGTCTAAAGCACTGATTCTCAGCATGTAATACATTTTATAGCCATGTTAGCAATGGATGTAGACCAGTGGTTCTCAAACTTTTGTACTGGTGACTCCTTTCCCAGAGCAAGCCTCTGAGTGCGACCTCCCCCCAGAGCAAACCTCTGAGTGCGACCTCCCCGCACCTTATAAATTAAAACAACAACAACACTTTTTAATGTATTATAAATGCTGGAGGCAAAACAGGGTTTGGGGTGGAGGCTGACTGCTTGTGATCCCCACCATGTAATAACCTTGTGACCCCCACTTTGTGAATCTCTGATGTAGACTGTGTTTGAAACTTTCAAGCACTTGCTACACAAGTTTTAATGTGGAGAGGGCTTACCGATGAGTCTATTGATTTAGCTTGATTATTTGAGAGCCAAGGACTAAGGCCATTATAAAACTGGTATTTTGACAGGATGCCTTTTTAAAAAATAAAATTAAAAAAAGGTAATTTTTTAGGGTGGGGAGAGAGATATGGCGTACCTTGAGCTACAAATTATGTAAAAATGTCATTTGTGTCCTTGACAAGGGCAAATTTGAAAAAAGTCAGTCCTGGAACAATTGTGAGGTCTGTTAATTTTTCCCAAAGAAACTATTCTGATGGATAGTTTTGGCAGTAATATGTACCACTGCTATGTACAAAACATCTGAATGCATTTTGCTTTCTTCCAACCAAAAAGGAGAAATGTAGCCCCACTCTGTGTACAGAACTCCCATTGAAATTAATCAATGTTCAGCATGTGGGATGAGTAGTAAGTCAGGCTCTGTGTGGGATTTGTTATGAGAGTCCAAAAGCGGTAGAGACTGAGAGCTTGTCTATGCTACCAACACTACAGCTATGGTGCTGCTGCTGTAGTGCCATGGTGTAAATACTTACTACAATGACGAAAGAGGTTTTTCCATTGCTATAGATAATCCACCCCTCTCAAGAGGCGGTAGCAAAATCGATGGAAGAATTCTTCCATTGACTTAGTGGTGTCTATACCAGGGCATAAGTCAGCTTAACTACATATCTCGGGGGTGGATTTTTCACACCCCTAAGCAATGTAGCTAGGTTGATTAGGTGTTAACTAGGCCTCAGACTTCATTGGTATGCTTTTGTTCACCAACCTGGTCTTGACCAACATTTTTATTCAACATTCAAAGTATTACCAGTTTGGGATGCAGAAGTTGTAATCTATATTACTAACT